TTTGGCTTCCGAAGTCGCGGCTCTCTTGACAGTGATAGCGGGCATTGCGATGTGAGCCTTTCTGGAGCTGCTGCTTTGGGCTTGGCTTGTGCCTTTGCCTGTTGTTTGGCGTTAGGCGCTGGAGCGGATGCCTTGAGGTTTGCTGGTTCTGCGTGTTTGTATTTGCATTGATCCCCTTTCGTGCACTTTTCTTCTCTCCATGCATAGCAGACCCCGTCCAGCCCTTGGTGCTTTGCCTCTGCCTTTGCCCTTGCCTTTCTCATTGTCCATTTTGTGCTTGTGCTTATGGGAATATGGACAATCCTTGCCTTTAAGACATCCTCCTTTCTTCGTGTAATGGAAAACACATGGCCAGTCCTTCTTCGCTCCAGGGCTCACGCTTTTCCCTTTCCCTTTTCCTTTGCCCTTCTTGTCGTGGTCTTTTGCTTTTGCTTTGGGTAGCACTGGCGCTGCTGCGTTTCCATCATCTTCCTTCCCGGAACTCCCTCCTTTTCCCTTTCCCTTCTTCTTTTCTGCTGGCGCCGCACTCTTGTTGCCGCTCAGCAAGTTCTTTGCTGACTTCTCCTTCACGTCGTAGACGTAGTCCTCGCGGTCAGTCCGAAGTTGTCGATCAATCAATCCCATAAGGAAACGGTAGGTCTTCTCGGGGTGTGCATCCGGTAACCGCGCATAGGTATTGAGACCAAATTGCAGCTTCCTGCTTCCTTTGATCTTGTGATATAAGATGTCCCGGAGCGTGATTTCTCTGGGTGTATCCTCCTTCCTCAGGTTGAGCAAGATGTCATACCATTTGTTGCGGAACACAGACATGTTCTTGTCCCCGAAAAATTCCAGGTATCACTCTCACGGGTCTTCGAATTATGGCGTTGGCTGGTCCTAACAGAATCATCCCTCAGTAGAGCTCGTCCACGATCATTGAAGTCCGCCACAATGATGCTTTCTTTGGGTGGCGTTCTCACTTTCGAGCTCCTTGTTTGTCTCTGCCAGCTGATATACAAAGCTCTCTTGGATCTTGAGCTCCCGCCGTGTCTCTTCAATCTCTTCGGCCATTGCAGTAATTTGATTGAGGTAGTCGGATTGCGCATCGCTGGCCTTTTGCCTTGATGCAGCGAGTTTGCAAGTTGTCGAACTCCCGATCCCTCAGCGTGGCGCGATCATGTAATGCATTTCCTTTATGAGCTCGATCTCTTGCAATCTTGATCTCCTGATTGATTGCACGTTGACCGATCAGTTACATCTCATCCCGTTCGCTCACAGCAACCCGTGCGCAGTGTGCTTCTTTGTTCGGCGTACCTGATGGCGTCATTTGCCTTGCTCACCAATACTTTGTGGCTCGTCATCAATCGCCATCGTTGGCTGTGGCAACAATGCTGTTTCCAATCTTTCACGCAAACCACGAATAGTGTTCTCCTCGTTCTGCAAGTCCGTAGCGATCTTCACCTGATAGGAGTTGATCATCGATTGATACTGTGCAATTTCAGAAGAAACGCTTCTCCTCTCTTGCTCAGCTTTGCTCTTGCTAACCAATGAGCTTTCCTCCTCACATCTAATTCGATGTTCAAGTAGATCAACGGTTGGCGCCGCTTCTCGTAGTCGAGGACTTTGTATCGGGCTTCTTCTTGATACTCTCCGTAGATCCTCGCAAGATGTTGTGCTTGATCTTCGGAAAGTTGTGTCATCCCACGTTGAATGTCAATGTGTTGAGCAGCTTCTCGAAGTTGTTCGTCGGATCTTTTGAGGATATGGGCTACTTGTTGTTCCGACATACCAGCTCTCCGTTCCAGTTCCTGAACGCGCGTGACATTGCCATGGTCATCACATTCATGTGACTCCTGTAGCATAGCCGTAGCCTCTTCCACTTCCTGTCTGAGGGTCTTGTTCTCCTGAGTGATCTTTGACGGACTTGGGCCTGTAGGCGACTTCGATCGCCCTCTCTCCTTTTTCACAGGACTCATCACGCTCCTTCTCGGTGTCGATAACGAAGCTGATGACGATCCCTTCTTTTCTCCGTCCCTGGACCACACAGCATGACCAACTTCTTTCCAGGATGAATGTGATTGGTCGTGGCTATTACCAGAACTTGCACTTTGTTGAGTGTCCGGAGAGTCCGCGATTGCCGGCACAGCAAACATACCTGTGGAACCGCTGGAACTGTCATTTCTAAAGGTTGCAGTTCCTGGCTTCCGGAAGAATCCATTGTACGGCTGTAAATATGATTTCAAAAGGTTGTATTGTGCCGCAGTTGCAGTCCACCGCTAAGACCAATTGTAAGCTTACGGCTGATAACCTGCCAGGAATGGGAGAGACGTTGTCTATAGTAGGGGTCGGTGTAAATAGGGTTTGTAAGGATAATATGGCCTGCGTTGTCTCACAACCAACTGCGACAGCGGAGCACGGTCCTCTTGCCTCTGCCTTCCGTTGGATATTTGAATTGAACATCTTGTCAAGAACTTGAGCCCTGAGCCAAAGCATCCGTATGCATGAGTCGGCTGTTCACACAACAACATCCCCGCAGTTGCAGTCCACCGCTGGGACCAATTGTAAGCTTACGGCTGATAACCTGCCAGGATGCGAGTCAACCACGTAGTCAGTGATAAGGCAGTTGGGGCTCGAATTTCGTGGGGTGACCACTACCCTCGACAATGGAGTCGTATAGCACGGGTCGTTGTAAATAGGGGTTGTAAGGGTAATATGGCCTGCGTTGTCTCACAACCAACTGCGACAGCGGAGCACGGTCCTTGTGCCTCTTTACAGCTTTCCGTTGGATATTTGTCTTGAACCACTTATCAAGAACTTGAGCCAAAGCATCCATATACATGAGTCGGCTGTTCAAACACCAACATCCCCGCAAAGGTTCGAGGGACCTTGCTCAGAACCTGCCCTTGGGATTTGGCCTGTGGCGCGGAGATTCTTAGCAATGATGATGCACACCACCATGATCACTTTCGTCATCATCATCATCATTTTAACCATCATGTTCACCATCATGTTTGTCATCACCATCATCATCCTCATCATCATATTCATCATCATGTTCATCCTCGGCCATATTTTGCATCACCAATCATCATGTTCCTCACCATGCTCATCATCGCTCTTCTTTTTCATATACGTTTCAATTGCGCCGTTAGACCCGACTGGACATGCAGAGGATGCGGTGTCATGATTGTCATGATAACTGCTGGTGATGCTGAGGATGCGTAGTGATGATTATCATCAGGATGATGGTGCTGATGATGAACACGATGATGATGAACATGATGATGATGAAGATGATGATGATGAACATGATGATGAAAATGATGACGATGATGATGATGGACATGATGGTGAAAATGATTATGATGATTGATGATGATGATTGATGATGATCATTATTTCATGTTCATCATCATCATTTTTCATCGTCGCGTTCATCATCCAAACCGTGGCGCTCTTCTTTTTCATATACGTTTCAAGTGTGCCGTTAGACCCGACTGGAAATGCAGAGGATGCGTTGTCATGATTGTCATGATAACTGCTGGTGATGCTGAGGATGCGTAGTGATGATTCTCATCAGGACGATGATGCTGATGATGAACACGATGATGATGAACATGATGATGATGAAGATGATGATGATGATGAACATGATGGTGATGAAGATGATGATGATGATCAACCTGTCAGTTCACGCAGCTCAAGTTAGGGAAGGACCATTATCCGACACACTGTTGCACAAACAAAATGGCTCTAACTCTGACCCCGCGCCATGTAGAAAAAACCCGTCATGCCAAGCTCGACAATGATTTCATAGCTACCCCCCCCCACAAATCACCTACTTATCCACAACACTTCACCAACAACTCAAGAAAAACTTTTTAAGGCGTTTAGGGTGGTAAAGCCAGCACCGCCAAAACCAACCACAATGCAAAATGCAGACCCAAAATTTAAAAGACGCGCAGTCACAATCCGCACTTGCCCGACCACGCAGCGCGGATAACACGGCCAAAACCCTGAAAAAATCGCGAGAGTTTCGCCCTTCAGAATGATGCAGAGTACAAAGAAACGCGCTAAGATTCGCCTCCTCAGTAACATTTGAACAAAAGCTGGAATCCCCCGCCCAGACGCCGTACAATAAGGGAGGCAAAGCCAGCACCCACAAAACCAACAGCAATGCAAAACGCGTGCCCGTTCTGCTAAAATTGAAAAGATACGCAGTCGCAGTCCCCCAACATGGTTTTCTTGCCAAAGTTTCCATGCGCTAGGGCACTTCTTGTAACATCAAAAGCATGATCATTATCGTGGTGCTCTTCTTTTTCATGCTTTAAGCGTGCCGTTAAACCCAACAAAAAATAGCAAGGAATTCGGGGGCGGCAACACCGGGCGGCAGCCCTTAAATCCGGCCTCGCCGTGCAATTTCGCCCAAATAAGAGCACGCCTAGGCTTTGCCTCCCAAGACGGTCACTGCCGCCGACCCCTCGCGTCGTCTGCATTCCCAGCGCCTTTGGTGCGTCATCACCACCCGCGCGGCCACTGGAGCTCGAGTTGAGGGAGGGCTCAAGACATTGCAAATATGCAGCACCCTTGCTGCGAGCATCGCCAACGCTTTCGGAAGCCCCTGTGTTTCACTCATCGCCTGCATGCCCTGCATTGCCCGCAGTTGGGGCCACTCTTCTCACAGCCATTCTGATGGCACGCGCGCGCGCGGGCGGGCGGGCGGGCGGGCGGTCGGGCGCGCGTGCGGGCGGGCGGGCGCGGGGTGGGCGGGTGGGTGTGGGTGTGGATGGGTGTGCGCGCGTTGTTGGGTAGGTGGCTGTGTGGTGTGTGTCTGTGTGTGTGTGTTCGTGTGCGCCATCCCATCCATTCCTCCACCCCATGTAAAAATTGCATCCCTCTTATCCGCAATCCATCGCGTCAATCCGTCCAGCCCGCGCGGCGGACTGCGAGGCCGGCGCGCGGAGCACGAAAAATACTCAAAAATTGGAGAGGTGGGAAATTGATATGGCATACTTTCTCTGCCTTGATGAAGCTGGCAATCATGTTGTGGGCCATGGCGCGCGCCAGCAAAGTTTTGCCGGTGCCAGGGGGCCCATAGAGGAGCACCCCCTTCGGAGATTTGATACCGACCTCAGTCTGGTCCCAATTCTGATCGTGCCTGTCCCATGCCTTTGAGATAGGCACTCGCTTGAAGAGTTCTGGATTCGTCAAAGGCAGCTCAATGACCTCTCTCATCTGCCTGACAAATTCACGACCCAACATCGCCGCATGACCCCTCGCAAACTCCTGAAGCAGTGGGGGAATGATGCAAACATTGCCTGATCTGTTCTGTGAGCCCGCCGACGTCACCGTACGAAATCTTCCCTGGGTCCTCTCTTGGTTCAAAGGCTTCACATTCATATTGAATATACTGAATATATGGAATATATGGAATATACGGAAAATGGACTATGAGCGGCGGTGCGTGATGCCTGTGGAAAGGCTCGCTGGCGCGGCACACACCTCATGTGATCTCGTGTCCACTTGATGTTCGACAAGACTATGGCTGGACCATAGTTCACCTGCTCGCTGCACCTTCCCGCTGCCATGATGCGTTTACGGGGCAAAGCGGTCAAACAAACGTGAGTTCAACAGGGTGGAGGGAAAGAGGCTCAGAAAACAAGGCATGGCATGCGCTTATCCACCTCCTGGACAGCGTTTCTTGCGTTCTTTGCACTTTTTGTTTGGGTCATTCACTGTGTGACGGCTTTGTCGTTGGTGCAAAGTGCAATGGCAGTCGGCTGAGAGAGAAAATGCAAAGTTGCTTTCCTTCCGGACCTTCAATTCATTTGCTTCTCTTTAGCTTACTTACACATCTTATATTTGCATTCTGTTTCTTTTCTCTCTCTTCTCTCCTTTCTTTCCTTTCTCTTTCTCTCTTCTGCTTTCATTTGCTCTCTCTTAAGTCTAACTCCTTTTTCTCAACGGATGTTGGCGCGTCTTGAACCGTTTCTCTCCTCTTCTTACTTTTCTTTGTCTCCATGTTTCTTTTGCGCTCTTTTCCTTTTTCTTCTCCATGTTTCGATCTGTTCACCCGTGTCTCCCCCCCGTCCTCTCCCCCCCGTAAGAGGGAAGAGTGTGTATAATGCGTCGCGCGCGTGTTTTGGTACAAGTTTCTATTGATTTTCTTGTTTTAAAATGTTCCTTTCTGTTCTATTGCTGTTAATTAATGAATCAAGTTAGAAAAAAACAAGGCCTCGGATTCTCTAATGTTGCTAACTATTTAGAACAAATAGAAAAATAGAAAAACAAGCCTCGATGTAGTCCCGGGCCCACTTCCCGGAGTCCTGGGCCCCAATTGTTTTTCTAATTTTCGATTTTTCATAATTTTCATAATTTCTCTAATTAATTAGGAAAAATAAAAAATAGAAAATCAAGACCATGGAGTTTTCTAATTTTCCTAATTAGTTAGAAAAATTAGAATTTATAAAATTTGAATCCTTGTTCTTTCTAATTTTCTAATTTTCCTAATTAATTAGAACAACATAGAAAAACAAATAAGGCCCAGGATTCCGGGAAGTGGGCCCGGGACTACAGGAATTAGAACTAATTAGAACAATAAAGAATTAGAACCCTTGTGTTTTCTTTTTTTATTATCCTAATTGAATAGAAAATTGTGGACAATGCAGGAAAAATAGAAAACTAGAAAAACAATTGGAGCCCAGGATTCCGGGAAGTGGGCCCAGGACTACAGGAATTAGGAAAATCAGGAAGACTAGAAAATTCGAGACCTGGATTTTTCTAATTGTTCTAGTTTTCCTAATGAATGAAAAATTAGAAAACATAGGAAAATTAGAAACACAATAGGGGCCCAGGATTCCGAGAAGTGGGCCCGGAACTACAGGAAATAGAAAAAATCGGAAATTCGATTGCATTTTTCTTTTTTGCTAATTTTCTAGCTAACTTAGAAAAATATGAAAAATAGGAAAATACAAAAATCGAAAAACAATTGGGGCCCAGGATTGCGGGAAGTGGGCCCGGAACTACGGGAAATAAAAAAATAGAAACAAATATAAAACAAAGTCCCTCGAATTTTCTATTTTCTCGATTTGTTAATTTTCCTAATGAATTACACAAATTAGAAAATAGAAAAAAGAAAGGCCCTCGAATTGTGTAATTGTTCTAAGCTTCAAAAATTAGTTAGAAAAAAAAAACAAATAGAATAACTATAGGGGCCCAGGATTCCGGGAGGTGGGCCCGGGACTACAGGAATTAGAAAAAATGAAGTATTAGACAACAAATGGCCTCGATTCTTTTCTAATTTTCCTAATTGAAAAAAATAGGAAAATGCCCTCGAATTTTCTCATGTCTCTTATTTTCCTAGTTAATTAAAAAAATAAAAAAAGAAAAAAGAAAAATAGAAAAACAAAAGGGGCCCAGGATTCCGGGAAGTGGGCCCGGGATTGCAGATATTTTTCCCGAAAGCATGGCGAAGGGTTCTTCCGCTGGGTTCACTTGAGTTTTTCTCATGAGAGTCATTACAAGGTGTCATTGCAAGGAGTCATTGCAAGGAGTCATTGCAAGGAGTCATTGCAAGGAGTCATTGCAAGGAGTCATTGCAAGGAGTCATTGCAAGGAGTCATTGCAAGGAGTCATTGCTAGGAGTCATTGCAAGGAGTCATTGCTAGGAGTCATTGCAAGGAGTCATTGCTAGGAGTCATTGCAAGGAGTCATTGCAAGGAGTCATTGCAAGGAGTCATTGCAAGGAGTCATTGCAAGAGTCATTGCAAGGAGTCATTGCAAGGAGTCATTGCAAGGAGTCATTGCAAGGAGTCATTGCAAGGAGTCATTGCAAGGAGTCATTGCAAGGAGTCATTGCAAGGAGTCATTGCAAGGAGTCATTGCAAGGAGTCATGAGAGTCATTGCGAGCTGCGCGCATGGAGTCAAGTGCAAGTTGCAAGTGCAAGGGGTCAAGTGCAAGTTGCAAGTGCAAGGAGTCAGGTGCAAGTTGCAAGTGCATGGAGTCAAGTGCAAGTTGCAAGTGCAAGGAGTCGAGTGCAAGTTGCAAGTGCAAGGAGTCAAGTGCAATTGACTTGCGAGGAGTTAAAATCTCTTCTTAGGGCGGCGGGGTAGTGCCGACGACACTACACGAAAATCGACCCTCTGCGGGGATCGGCGTGGTCGAGGTGCAAAAACCCATGATTTGCGATTTCTGCGGCGCTCGCGCGACCCTCTGCGGGGATCGGCGTGGTCGAGGTGCAAAAAACCATGGTTTTTTGCGACTTCGAAAGTTCCCGCGCGACCCTCTGCGGGGATCGGCGTGGTCGAGGTGCAAAAACCCATTGTTTTTTCCGATTTCCGACATGCCCGCGCGAGCCTCTGCGGGGATCGGCGTGGTCGAGGTGCAAAAACCCATGGGTTTTTTGCGATTTCGAAAGTTCCCGCGCGACCCTCTGCGGGGATCGGCGTGGTCGAGGTGCAAAAACCCATGTTTTTTTGGTGATTTCTGCGGTGCCCGCGCAACCCTCTGCGGGGATCGGCGTGGTCGAGGTGCAAAAACTCAAGGTTTTTTGCGATTTCTGCGGCGCTCGCGCAACCCTCTGCGGGAATCGGCGTGGGCGAGGTGCAAAAACTCGAGGTTTTTTGCGACTTTTGTTGTTCGAACTGGTCCTCGGGAGTTGTCTCGTGGTTCGCGCGCCTGCTCCCGGAACCGGCGGGTCGCGGGTTCGATTCCTCCCTGGTCCGCGGGCGGTCGTCGCAAGATGCAACTTGCATTTTACAGCAACTTGCGCAGAGCAACTTGCGCAGAGCAAGTTGCACAGAGCAACTTGCGCAGACCAACTTGCACCGACCAGTTTGCGCAGAGCGCCTTGCCTAGAGCAACTTGCGCAGAGCAACTTGCGCAGAGCAACTTGCACAGAGCAACTTGCACAGAGCAGCTTGCACAGAGCAACTTGCAGGGAGCGCAATTTGCACAGAGCAACTTGCAGGGAGCCACTTGCAGGGACCAACTTGCCGGAGCAACTTGCGCGGAGCAACTTGCGCAGAGCAACTTGCACAGTGCAACTTGCGTAGAGCAACTTGCGCAGACCAACTTGCACCGACCAGTTTGCGCAGAGCACCTTGCCTGGTGCTGTCTCGCGCCAACTTGCACACACTGCAACTCGCACAGAGCAACTTGCGCAAAGCAACTTGCGCAGAGCAACTTGCGCGTGTGTCAGGCCGGGTTAAACAAGTCTGCCGTACATCGTGGGGAGTTATGCTTTCAGGCCACTCACCCTGTAGGAGTTTGACGCAAGGAGTTTTCATCATGAAAGAAGTTGCGAGGAGCATGACGCACACGGCTTATTTACGGGCATGGCGCACACAGCTGGTTGTTATGTGGCATCTTGCGGATGAGATTTGGCTCAAACAGAAGTCATGGAGCTCGAAGTAGCTAGGCTTCAGGCTGGCGCGGCCCAGCATGGCAAAGCGTGGCTGCAGCAAGAGGTGGCGGCCAAAGCCCGACCCCAACTTCGCGCACTCGCCCGACAGCTGGATGTGCGCCAATGGGTCGCAGGCAGCAACGTGACCAAGGCAGACCTAGCTGCCGCTGTCGTGGAGCAGCTGTGCCCACAGGCCAGGATCGAAATCTGGAAAGTTTTGCAGGTGTTTGTTTTGCTGTGCTGATTGTTGCCAGGAGCCAAGCAGTTCTGCGGCTTCGCTGACGCCGGTGTCTCGACTTGGTCGTAGTCGGTGTTTGACGCTATTGTTTTTGATGATGTTTTGCGGATGGCAGAAATGTGAGCACCAGATGGCACCATGTCGTGTTTCTTACGGACGGGTTGCCTCATCTCATGGACAGCGCAGGACGAGGCAGAGCTTGTCGTGGCGACGCTTCGTGCTGGTTTGTCGGAGAAGGGCAAGGCGTGGCTGCAGCAAGAGGTGGCGGCCAAAGCCCGACCCCAACTTCGCGCACTTGCCCGACAGCTGGATGTGCGCCAATGGGTTGCAGGCAGCAACGTGACCAAGGCAGACCTAGCTGCCGCTGTCGTGGAGCAGCTGTGCCCACAGGCCAGGATCGAAATCTGGAAAGTTTTGCTGGTGTTTGTTTTGCTGCGCTGATTGTTGCCAGGAGCCAAGCAGTTCTGCGGCTTCGCCGACGCAGGTGTCTCGACTTGGTCGTAGTCTCGACTTGGTCGTAGTCGGTGTTTGACGCTATTGTTTTTTGATGATGCTTTGCGGATGGCCGAAATGTAAGCACCAGATGGCACCATGTCGTGTTTCTTACGGACGAAAGTGACCCAGGCAGACCTAGCTGCCGCTGTCGTGGAGCAGCTGTGCCCACAGGCCAGGATCGAAATCTGGAAAGTGTTGCTGGTGTTTGTTTTGCTGTGCTGATTGTTGCCAGG